GTGTGGCTGAGAGCATCCTGCCTAGCCCAGGGGCTGCGTCTGCTGCTCCCACTGTACCTGTTTGGTAAGGAAAGAGCAATGAGCTCCCAGCCTGGCTCTGGAGGAACTCTCGGGCTAGATATGAACTCTGGCCCAGGCCCTAGTATGGCTTGTCTTGGGGCTGTGGGTTCAAACAGGGGTGCAGAGCCACAGCTGGTGGTTTAACAGAATGCTCTGATTTCTTCCTTTCTCCTGTGTCTGTGTCCTTGCAAATACTGGAAATTGCCTGTACTCATGATGGGGAGAGGGGAGGTATCAGCCTGAGGAGGCTCTACTTTTGATCCTGACATGTGGCCTCCCTGGATTGGAATGCCATGCCTCCAGGATCCTCATAGCTGAGATCTTTCTTACTTTTAATAGAATTACTTATCTAATTTTAATTAATTTATTATTATTATATTTTAAAATTATTTATTTAATTTTTATTTATTACCAATGCCTCAACCACCATGCCACCTGCTAGTCCCTATTATTATTATTTTTAAGTTTATTATAGGGCACATGTGCTCATGAGAGAGAGAGAGCAAACAAGCTGCCAGGTCTGGGACTTGAACCACAGTTAGTCATGTGGGAGCCCAGTGCCTTAACCACCATGCCACCACCTGCTGGCCCCATCGAAATATTTTTATTTATTTATTTTTAATAGATTTTTTTTTTTTTGAGAGGTTTTTGCTATAGGGCATGTGTTCTCACCAGAAAGACAGAGAGAGACAGAGAGACAGAAAGCGAGAAATCGCCTGCTCAGGGGGGATGGCCACGCCGCAATCCCTTCTCCTCCATTCTCCTCTCAGGATCTTGGGCATGCACGCACACGAGCCCGGTGTGAGTTTAAGACACTGGGTCTCAGACTCGAACTGCAGTCAACTACATGTGAGTCCAGCAACATAGCCATTACCCCAACTGCTGGTCCCTATTATTAATAGCTCTTTAAAGAGTTTTTGCTCGCCAGAGAGAGAGAGAGAGAGACAGAGAGACAGAGACAGTGAGAGGGAAAAGTGAGAATTCACCACCCAGGGGGATGGCCACACTGCAATCCCTTCTCTTCCATTCTCCTCCTGGGATCTTGGAGGATGTGCCTGCCATGAGTTTCATGCAATCGGGTCCAAAACTCCAACCACGGTCAGACATGTGGGAGTCCAACGATGTAACTGCTATGCCATCTGCTGGTCCCTGAAATCTTTTTAAAAAGGAGAACAGAAAAGAAAGAAGACTGAGTCTGGCTACTGATAGGTAAGCTGGGCCTTTGGAGGTGCTGAGCTGTAATCCAGTCACAGAGCCAGGATCCTGCCATTGTCCCCTACCACTGACCTACTGCTTGGTACCTAAAAGCCCAATTAAGTTTCCCAGTAAAGGGAGGCAGGCAGGTGGCATGGTGGTTAAATGCACTGGACTCCCACATGGCAGACTATGGTTCGAGTCCCGGACCTGGTGGCTTGCTTTCTCACTTTCTTTCTGTCTCTCTCTGACCAAACTGGAAAATAATAAGACGAAATAAAACAATTCTTTAAGAAAAAAGGTTCCCAGTAGAGGACTGGCCCCACAGCCAAATAGTCAAGAGAGCAAGATCCTACATGATTGACCGTAGTTTGAATCTCAGCTTTGGTGGCTTGAATAACACATGGGGTATATGTGTGTGTGCGTATGTTCCAGATCCTGATGAGATGGAGAAATGGAAGAAAGGATTGCAGTGTGACCATGCCTCATAAGAAGTGCTTTTATGTAGGGAGCCAGCAGTTAGCGTAATGGCTATGTCACTGGACTCCCACGTAGTCAACCGCGGTTCGCGTCCCAGACCCAGTGGCTTAAAACTCACACCGGGCGCGGGGGCGTGCGTGCTCACACCGGGCGCGTGTGCGTGCGTGCCCAAGATCCCGAGAGGAGAACGGAGAAGGGATTGTGGCGTGACCATTCCCCCTGGGGGGGCAATTTCTCACTTTCTGTCTATATGTCTCTCTCTGTATGTCTGGCGAGCACACGTGCCCTATAGCAAAAAACCTCTCCAAAAAAAAAGAAGTGCTTTTATGTCTTTAGTGAATACACGTACCCATTGGAGATCAAAAATAAACAAATACACTTCTTTTCTTTTTAGGTTCCCAGTAGAGGAGTAGAAATGGGGGTGTGTGACTCGGTGATGGTATTTTATTTCAGGTATATTGTGAATTGTTCATAATATAAAGACTGGTATGTGGCCTTAAAGTTAAGTCTTGGTGGGAATCAGCAGTTAGCGTAATGGCTATGTTGCTGGACTCCCACATAATCGACCATGGTTCGCGTCCCAGACCCAGTGGCTTAAAACTCACGCCGGGCGTGTGTGCGTGTGTGCCCAAAATCCTGAGAAGAGAATGGAGGAGAAGGGATTGCGGCGTGACCATCCCCCCTGGAGGATGATTCCCTACTTTCTGTCTCTATGTCTCTCTCTGTCTGGTGAGCGCATGCGCCCTATAGCGAAAACCTCTCCAAAAAAAAAAGTTAAGTCTTGGTGTTTGAAATGTACACACACTGCAAAGCCCTGTTGAAGCAAAAGTCAGCCTTCATTCTAAAAACAATGCAGTATTTTCCTAAAGTCTGAAAAGTAAAACGAGCGAAGTTATATATGGAATATGAAGATGGTTGGATTCTTTTCTGGAAGACACTACCCAGCAGCTCTGGTCCCTGCTCCGGCTTTGCCTTCTTAGGGAGTAGAGAGGTTGCCTAGGGTGGGAGCTTGGAGGGAAGAGGGCTGGAGGCTGCTGTCAGGGGCTGAGCCCTTCTCCCAGGTCATTAGGATGGATCTCCATGTGACCTCACTTGGAGGTCCAGGCCCTGGTGGTAGAGCAGTGCTCTTGCATGAGGCTGGGGGTGATTCAGGAGCAGCTGACTGGGGACTTGAGCCCGCGGAGGGCAAGAATTGCAACATGGTTCTGGGAAGTGATCCCCCAAGGCTGATGGGAGTTAGGTCCCCCTAGATGTAAACAACCCAGCCTGTTCCCAGCCAACAGGCCTGGCCAGAACAACCTTAGCACCACCCAATTCTCGGGGTAGAGGAAGGAGTGAAGTTTAACCTCTGGCATACTAGCAGGGAGCCAAGCAGGGTGCTCCTGTCCCAGGCTGCTCTCCGGGAACTGTGGGCTTGCCCTGACCTGTGTTGGCTGATGCCACAGCCAGTGCCCTCGGGAGGCCTGCTGTGGCCTGTGCCCGTGTATGCAAGGAACTCCCTTTGCCTCTAGCTTTCACCTGCAGGATAGACATAGGCTTATGACCCTTATGTATGTGTGGTTGGGGGAGGGGTGCAGTGGCTTCTGGATTTGGGGAAGGATGGGATTGGCTGACTATGGAGGCCAGGCTCTCTCAACCCTCTGAGAGCAATGCTGGGGAAATTCTGCTAGGCATAGGGGTGGGGAGGACGCACATTGAGCTCTGGGATAAATCTTTCTCCAGGGAGTCTTTCAAGAAGGTAGGAAGAGTCTAAATGTGTACACCCACAACCTCCATCCCATACTCTGAAGGAAAAAAATGGAGGTTTCGTCAAGAAAGGGACATCTCTGGAGTGAGAGAGCAACAGGCTTAGAAAGGAAGTGGTCCCTCTTCTCCTCCCATACCTAAGCAAGTTTCTTCCCTCCATTTCACAGGGCAGGCTCTGAGCAAAGCAAGAGCCACAGAGGAGACTATGAGGTAGGAACCACAGAAGAGAGGACTCTGTGTCTGCGGCCGGTGGGAGGAGGGGCTGGGCCCCAGACAGGCCAAGGGGAGGAGAGGGATGTCCTGGAGCTGGTGCTGGGTTGTGGAGGCCTGCGCCACCCGGCTCTCCCTGCAAATCAGCCTGGACAAGAAACAACTATAATGCTGGGTCAGGATTCTGGCTGGCTTTACCTTCTTGAATGAGGCATTCCCTGGGAATTGCAAGGTATTCTCCTAGCGGAAAGTCAAGGGAACATCTCTGGCCCTAGCCTCCAACCTCCGCCTTGCCTTTGGGTTGTGAGGCGCCCTAGAGAGGGTGGGGGAATCTCCGGGCTCCACGGCAGGCCCTGGATCCTCGCCTATGGGCCTGCTCCTCCCTCTTTTTGCTTCCCACCCTTCCATGGCCCAGAAGCAAATGGTGGTTCTGGCACTGGGACTGCCCATGACCCACTTAAAACGGAGCCAGGGCTGCCGCCCCTCCCCTAGGGGGCCTAGCGGGACGGGGGAGGGAGACAGGCCTGGCGCGAAGTTGGCAGTGGGCAGCCCACGGGTGTACGGGCGGGCGCCTTTTGTTAAGAGCGCTCCCTTTCAGCCTCAGGTGGGGACTCAGACCTAGGAAAAGGATGACTTCCCTACCCTGTGGGCTTATTCCCCCACCCCAGAGCGGGCTTTCTCTCCCTGGTCTGTGAGCATTCGGCAATGGGTTCCCACCCCAATTCTTAGGGCCAGATCCCTTCAGAGACAGAGAAAGCGTGTTCTTCTTTCTGCAGAGGTTTCCTCCGGGGGTGGGACCAGGACCGGGACCAGGGCGCAGGAAGTCAAATCCAAATCCCATCCCCCTTCTTGGGCCCTTCCTAGCCCCTCCCGACCGCACCCAGGCCCTTGCTGGGCTGAGTGGGTTGGGATGACCCAAAATAAGAAGCTGATTAAATCCGTCTCCCACCTTCACCCCAAAATAAAGGGGAGAGAGAGTAAAAACCTCCCCAGACGACTCCCACGCGGTTTCCTCCCGGCCCGGTGGGCCACTGACTGGGAAGGAGGGGGGGCGCCCGAGTCTACCGAGACGTGCGAGGGCGCCCTGGACCAGGCCCGCTGCCCACTCCCAGTGCGGCGTCCCCCCACCCGTCTCCCTGCAACCAACACAGAAAAACAATTAACAACAACGAAAAGGGCCCGAAGGCGCCGATAGGGGTGGGACGCGGGAGGCGGCGGCCCGGCGGATCCCCGGGCGCACAAGGAGAGCTTTGTGTAGACGGAAAGGCTGCCAGCACGCCAGCGCCGCGACCCTCGACGCCGGGCTCCCGGCCGGGAGAGCGGGCTTCTCTCGCCGAGGCGGGAGGCCGGGGGCCCGGGCCGCTCGACCCCACCTGGCGGCATTTACTGGGTGGAGGGCCGGGCGGAGGGCGTGCGGGTTCCGCTCGCGGCGAGCGCGGCTGCAGAGCGCTGGGAGCTGGAGAGCCGAAGGAGCGCCCGACTCGCACATGACAAGCAACCCGGGCAGCGCGGGCTTTTCGCCGAGTCCGAATGTTTATCAGGCTCGCACAGCTTTCAGAGCTGAGCGCAGAGCCCAGGGGAATTGGGGAGGGAGAGTCGGCCCCGGCTGCAAAGTTCTTCCAAGAAAAGGAAGGAATGGGAAAGAAAGTCGGCGGCAGGGGGAGGAGGAGTGATTGCCCGAGGCAGGCAAAAGTTGGATCGGCTGTAAAGTTTGGAGAAGAGGAGGGAAGAGAAAGGGAGGGAGATCCTGCAGGCCGGAGCAGCCGAGTTCCCGAGAGCCCTTCTCTCCGAACCGGGGCGGTCCCCTAGGAGACCCCCGGGCTCGCCTCCCTGGCGGGCGCGACTCCGGGAAGGGCCGGAGGAGCTCACTTACTTCGGGGCTGAAGCTGCTGCTTTGGGCCGAGCCGAGGGAGGCGAGCGCGGTGCCGAGCGTGAGCAGGGGGAGCAGAAGGCTGCGGGACGGTCGTGGGGCGGGAGACATGGTCCGCGACCGTCGGGGCAGCGGGACAGTGCGGGCTCCGAGGCCGGGCCCACGCCCTGGGGTCGCGCCGCCTCTCCCTCGGGGTTGCCTTTGTCCTCGGTAGGCCCTGGATTTGGATCCCTAGAGCGCTGCCGGCTTGGAATGGGGGAATTGTTCTTGAAAGTGCCTGTTTGCTCTGCTCTTTTCCCTTTTTTGATCTTCCTTCTGCTTAGTCGGCGAACTGAGTCCTGAGTCGGGAGCCCTCTCTGGCTCTCTCCTCTGGTCCCTCCCTTCTCCCACAGCCTCTCCTCCGCCCCCGCCCCCAGTGCCCTCCTTTCCTGGTGGGGACGTGGTTGTTTTAGCCTGAATCCAATTACAGCCAAGAGCTGGAGAAAAAAAAAAAAAAAACCCTAAAGTTGCCTTTCTGTGGCGCAGGCTGCCATCTGCAGGGACTGAGGCCACAGCCTCAGGAGGGGGCTGTAGGGGGGACCCAAGGGACGGGATGTGGGAGACTTTCTCTCCCCTAAGCACATTTTGGGTGGCTTGATTTCTCTGGTGTTCAGCATTTGTCTCACCTCAGAGTGGGAAGTTCTGGGAAGCCTAGTGGCTAGGGCCAACTAGGAACTCAGGGGCTGGTATGATGGTGGGGGAATATTTTCCCCACCCATGAGAACTGATTTGGGAAAAAGGACCAGTTTACCAACAGTCAGGGTGGAGGGGCTTGTCCTCTCCATCTGTGTACAGCCAGCCACCTCTGTCCTTCTTCCTACCTAAAAACCCAAGTTGTGGCAAAATCCAATACCCAACAATAAGCCCCACAATCTTACTAGATTGGAGTGAGGGAGGTGGATTTCCATCCCTGTAGAAAGACAAATATGCCCCCCTTATTAATTTATCATCATCTGCAATGTCTGCTCCTTTAATTAGAACTGTCTGGGTAGGAAAGGGGTGCAAGGCCGTGGAATCTACAGAAAAGCAAATGGAGCTTGGTAAAATTGTTAGAAGAGGAAAGGATTGGGTTAGGACTTGGGGTTTAGTTCCACATCCATACTGGGGGCGGGATGGGGGGCAGTTCCTTAAAGGGTAAAATCTTCTCCAGGGACTGACTAGGACTCTTGAGAACAAAAGGTGGAGGTATGCAGGGAAGGGGGAGGGCAGACTAGAGCTGACAGTGAGAAAGGGGAGACAGATAAGAGGTTGGGAACCAGATCTGGAAAAGCAGCCCAACAGCAGCAGGAAAAGTGTGGGAGACAAAAAACTCGACCATCAGCAAAGTCTAAGATCCAAGAATTGCATTTGGTCAGCGAGAAAGGAAGGAGGTAGTAAGAGCAGGGAGAGAAAGAACAAAGGGGGGTTGTGGAGAGAAATTAGGTCAGGTAGACAGCCCCAGAAAGCCTAGGGATCCAGGAACTCACACATTTGTGGCGGAAGAATGTAAGTCCAGGGCTCTATATTGGAATGGGAACCAAGATTCTTTGTCCCCAGAATCCATGGGCGGAGCCATGATCAATAAAAGGCTTCCTGGGGCCAGCAATTAGTGTAATGGTTATGTCTCTAGACTCCCATGTAGTCGACCGGTTCGAGTCCCAGACTGGTGGCTTAAACTCATGCCGGGCGCATGTGTGTGCGTGCCCAAGATCCCAAGAGGAGAATGGAGAAGGGATTGCAGCGTGGCCATCCCCTCTGGGGGTAATTTCTCGCTTTCTGTCTCTGTCTGGCGAGTGCACATACCGTATAGCAAAAACCTCTCCAAAAAAAGAAAAAAATAAATAAAAGGCTTCCTATGTCTGGATGTGGTGTGCATTAGAGACCTATCCCACAGTGACTTTTTGGGGACTGCGCCCTCTTATAGGGTTTTCCTATTCAAACGGGTGGGGAGGTGCAGGCCCCTCTTCAATCAGCCTCTCAAGTTCAATAAGAACCATGGAGACCTCAGAACCCAACTCTTCTAGCAGAACATGCAATACCCAAGTCTGGTTCTTCTCATGTCCGCCTTCCCAGGGGAGGTATCCTTCTGGACTGCGTGTATGAATTTTGCTTGCCAAGAAACGGTTCTGAACTGGAAAGCCTTTTTCATCAGAACATTTATTGAATGCCAACTGCAAGTGGTCTGTGCTGTGCTGTGTATGGGCTGTCAAAGGGTTGAGTATCAGCCTAAACCCAGGAAAAACTGCTGTCCCCTTTTCATGTTTGTAGAGCAGTTACTGTTCATAGTTGGGGCAATCCTACAGTCTACAGGAGGGGATAAAAATCCCAGAGCAAGATTCGGTTGAACTGGAATGGATCCAAGGGTGAGGGCGCTAGGCCAAACCTCCCAGGCAGTGACCGACCTTACAGCCTGTTCTTCCTGGTGTCTGAACTCTTTTGCTCTAAAGACAGATGGGGAACACAAAGACTCTCTTTTGGCTATGAGGAGGCATCTAGGTGATAGGAAAGGAAGCCAGAGAGCCTGGGGAAGGGGAGCAGGAGTTGGTTTTTATTGACTGGAAGTAGGTCTCTTTTCTTTTTCTTCCAGCCAAATCCTCATTCTCTCTGCAGTGAAGTCCCTTTGGGTTTAAGAGCATTTTTCTGTTTCCTTTCTTCCTGCAACTTCTCCTGCTGCCTGAGCTGCCATGCCTGTAAGCCAGCATCCATTTCCTGTGACAGCAGTACAACTCGTCTCTGAAACAGACAGGAAAACAGTGTGGTAACATCTGGGGCTTGAGCACAGCACCATATATCCTTTTACTTACAAAGTCAGAGGTTTCAGCTGGAAAATGACATCGCTGAGTGGGGAAGGGGTGAGATCAAGCCCTGGATCGGGAAGCAGAAGGGTGAGGCAGAATGTCTGGATTTTGCCCTAGGGGTGCCCCACTCTCTCCCTCCCTTCTCACAGTGCTACTAAAACCTCTGGCTGTTTATACCTTAGCATGAGGGGTATATGTTAGCTCAGGTACAATAAATTCAAGACAAATTACAATTTAAATGTTCCCCCTCCAATTACAAATGGTAGCCCAGGCTGGGGCATTAGCCACTCACTGCAAACTTCTCCCTTTGGGCTTTTCTTCGAAGCTGGCCTTTCATTGGGGGAGCAGGGCGGCCATCTACAGATAGAAGTGAGAGAAAAGGCAAGTGTTACGGTCTGCAGCACCTTATCTGAAGATTGTGGTAGGAATGAGGGAAGAACCTATCTCTAGATCTTCATTCCTATTTCATGCCCATTGTATTAATGGCTTAAGTCTAAAATATTTCCCTCATCTCCAAGGGTAAGGTATGACAGACTTACAAAGAAAAAGCTCCTAGGCAAATTCCTACTGTATTTCACTTAACCCTCAGCCTGAAATTCAAGGTCCTCTGCAATGTTGACCCTACTGTTTTATCTTCAGAAATCACACTCATGCAGTGTGATTACTGTTCTCCTCAATGTGAGTCTCTGCTGAATTCCATCCAACTCCAGAGTGAAATGCTTTTTCTTTCCTTCCGGCCAATTCTCATCCTTAGGCCCACTTAAACTATAATGTTCCCAGAAACCCTTCTCCAACCTCTTAGCTTCATCAGCTTGCTCTCCTTTTAAAAATTTCCTAGAGGGTGTGTGTACTAGCCAGAGACAGAGAGAGACAGAGGGAGAGGGAGAAAAAAAAAAAAAAAAAAAAGGACCAGCAGTTAGCGTAATGGCTATGTCGCTGGACTCTCACGTAGTCGACCGCGGTTCGCGTCCCGGGCCCATGGCTTAAACTCATGCCGGGCGCGTGTGCGTGCCCAAGATCTCAAGAGGAGAATGGAGGAGAAGGGATTGCGGAGTGGCCATCCCCCCTGGGGGGGGTGATTTCTCGCTTTCTGTCTCTCTGTCTCTCTCTGTCTCTCTGGCGAGTGCGTGCACCCTATAGCAAAAACCTCTCAAAAAAACCAAACCAAACCAAAACAAAACCAATTGGGCATGGTCTTGTCACAATCCTTTCTCCTCCATTTCCCTATCTTGTCAGGATTTTGATATGCATGGGGACCAGCAGTTGGCATAATGGCTATGTCGCTGGGCTCCCATGTAGTTGACTGTGGTTCGAATCCCAGACCTAGTGGCTTAAACTCACGCTGGGCGCTCAAGTGTGTGCATGCCCAAGATCCTGAGAGGAGCATGGAAGAGAAGGTATTGCGGCGTGGCCATCCCCACTGGAGGGTGATTTCTTGCTTTCTGTCTCTCTGGTGAGCACATGCGCCCTATAGCAAAAACTTCTCCAAAAAAAAAAAAAAAAATCAATTTGCCTTCAGATATTTACTGTACTTTATTTATTTATTTATTTTAGATCTTGCTGTAGGGTGCATGTATTCACCAGATGGAAAGTGAGAAATCACCTCCCAAGTGGGGATAGCCACTCTTCAATCCCTTCTCCTTTCAGGATTTTGGGCATGTACACACATGTGCCTAGTGTGATTTTTAAGTCGCTGGGTTTGGGACTAGAACAGCAGTTGGCCAGGTGGAAACCCACTGCCTTAACCACCTACCACCTACTAGCCCCATGTTTTTATTTAGTGTTATTTAGCCATCTCAGATACTTTTGGGAAGAGACAGAGTATTAAATACCCCTTTTAAAATGTCCATGCTTTGTTTCTTCAGTCAGCTTTTAAGTTCCTTGGGACCAGGAAATATACTGCTAGTTTTGCTAGTCATAGTATAATGTAGGCATATAAGCACGAAATAAAAATTCCATAAATATCTGACTTGTGGAAAAGATGCAGTATCTGACCTCAAGTAGTTTATAATGCAGATGAGAAAATTAACTTATTTTCCACAAAGAAAACTCTACCCAAAAGTTTGAGGGCAAGGTAGTTAAGAGATATTATTTATCAGGAAAGGGAACCAATACTGTGTGTGTAAGATGTTTTATGTTGGTTGCTTCATTTTATCCTTATAAAGAACATATGAGGGGACCAGTGGGTGGCATGGTGGTTTGACACCTGTGCATGGTCAAATTAAAATAAATGAATATATAAATAAAATTAAATAATTCTTTTTAAAAAAGAACCATATGAGATATGCATTCTTTTTTTAAATGAATTATTTTATTTAACTTTACTTATTATTATTTTCCAGTTTGATCAGGAAGAGACAGAGATAGAGAAAGAGACAGAAGGGAAGTGAGAAAGCAAGCTACCAGATCTGGACTCAAACTGCGGTCGGCCATGTGAGAGTCCAATGCCCCTAACCATCATGCCACCTGCCTGCCCCAAGATTGGTATTCTTTTACAGATGTGGAAGCTGAGAATCAGACAAAATTAAGTAACTTGTCCAAGACCACAAAGTTAACAAGTAAGGTAACCTGGGTTAAGAGTCAGGTATATGGGCTGGCTCCCTGGTGTAACAGTAATGCACTACTGAAGAGAAGCCAGATCCCACATGGTGACTAGGGTTCAAATCCCAGGCCAGATTGGGACCAGCAGTTAGTGTAATGGCTATGTCACTGGACTCCTGTGTAGTCGACCGTGGTTCACATCCTGCACCTGCTGGCTTAAAACTCACGCCGGAACGCCGGGTGTGCGTGCGTGCATGCCCAAGATCCAGAGAGGAGAATGGAGGAGAAGGGATAGCAGCATGGCCATCCCCCCTGGGGGGTGATTTCTCACTTTCTGTCTCTCTGTCTCTATCCGTCTGGCGAGCACACGCGCCCTACAGCAAAAACTCAAAAAAAAAAAAAAAAATCCCAGGCCAGATTGATCTGAAACAAGCTGGGTGTAGTCCTCCAACCGGCTGGAGGACTAGAGGAAAAGGACTGTGGTGACCAGAACCTGTGGAAGGTGCTCCTCTTTTTTTCTCTGTGTGTTTCTCCTATCATGAATAAAGAAAAAGAGAACAGGTACATCTAATTCTAGTCTTTTTAATATTCCGTATTACTATAAGGAGATCCTAGGCTTCCTACAGTAAATAACAAATGGAAAAATTCTTTACCATCCTCCTTAGTCACGAAGTATCTGATTAAGCAGGACCATACTCCCAGAGAATCCAGTGGGGTATTAATACTCAGGTTTCTGTGCTGTGAAGGAGTGGAGCCCTGTTCAGTTCTAGTCCTAGCTTTGGTACTTTCTAGCTCTATGGTCCCAGGTAATTTACTTCTGTAGCCCTCAGTTTTCCGACCTGTAAACTGGAATACCACATAGAGAGTGGGGAGTGGTTTCAACTTCTCTATGGTCCTTTTCTTCTAGAACTAAAACTTATTTTCTCTTGTTCTTTTATTTTATTAAATAATAATTTATTTAATTTTATTTGTTGTTATTATTATTTTTAAATTTGACCAAAGAGAGATACAGAGAAAGAAAGAAAAAGTGAGAAAGCAAGCCAAGTCTGGGACTCAAACGGCTTATCATTTGGAGTCTAGTGCCTTAAGCACTATGCCACCTACCAGCCCCTGTCCTTTTAAATAAATAGGAAAAGCTTTTCTGAAAGAAGCCTGCCATCCTCAACTTCCCCCCTTCTATCCCTCTAAGATGCTCATTTCCACTGCCTTTCAAAGAGCCTCCCTTTGGCATCAAATTCTCAAAATGTACTTACCACACACAAGGGTAGGTCTTCCTAACTTTAAAAAAAATCATGTCCCCATTTGAGAAATGTAAAAGTGCTGTCACCAGTTCCCACCCCGGGGCATTCCAAGTCATAATGACCTTCTGCTTATCTCCACAATAAAATCTTGTGAAGCTTTGTTTCTCGTTGTAGTAGTTTGACTTACAAAATAAGGAGAATCTCTTTCCCCACTTTCCACTAAAAAGTTCAATACGTTTCCCACTCAGACACGCCCCCACCTTGACATGCACACACCCGCCCGGCACGGGGCGTTCCCTCTGGGAGAAAACCCTCCAAGCAGGGAACTAAGTGTCAATCGGCGCTCACCCGCGTACGACCAGTCCGGGAGCTCCGTCAAGGGACCGTAGCCGGAGGGGTTGGCGGCCAAACCCTGCCTGGTTGGAGACAGAAAGTCCGGTGAAGACGCGGCCCGGCTGCTAGATCCCCGGAGGCCCCCATCCCAGCACTCACTCGAGTCGCCATCGGCTGCCCGCCTGAGCC